TATTTACATGGTTTTTTACCTCCATTAAGCGGCCAGCAAATTATCTTTCCAAGCGAAATAGTGACAGATGATATCTTGAGGTGATAACTGAAAACAACAAGAAAACAAGAACTGCAATATAATCTCCACCATAACAAGTCACAAGCCACATACACGTGCAAACTTTTCACATCCGGCGCTATACAAACATAACAATAGCTAACAATAGATAGAGCTGAACCACTGTTTTGTTACAACCAAAATCTGTACAGGAAAACTTTATTACTACTGTACTGGAAATCTACAAAAATCCATGCTCCTCAAGTTTTGATTATAACCATTGAATTGAAAACTCGTCCCCTGTGAAGCAGTACTCGCATGGAATTTCTAAACCAGTAGCCGGCCCCTCTGTTTATGTGTTTGCCTTTCACAACAGCTCTTCCTTTGTTTGTTGGCCTCTTGAGAAATTTTGTAAGCCATAGGGCCATAAGCCCTACGTGCCCTCTGTTTTAGAACTAGAACTAATGCCTGGGCTGGAAATGCACTTGATATTTTGTTACAATGAATTTTGGATTTATCTTCATATATGTTCACTTTTTAAAATCATTTTGCTATATAGAGTCAATAAAATCATGTTTTCTGCCATTCCTATCCAATTAAAATTGTACCTCTATTAAGCTGCCAACCTCTATTAAGCGTCCACTTTTCAAAGTCGGGGGGGTGGCCGCTTAATAGAGGTCGGACTGTACTATCATATTACTATTATAAGTTATATATTTATACTTTATTGTAAATACACAATTCAGCTCAGTGGCTGCAAGCTTTTTACAAATAACCTATCTATCTACAATCTGATAGTTCAGATCAGATGTAATCCAAACATAAGTAAAAGTAGATGATTCCTATTTTTTTTTAAATAATAAAATTCAAAGGTGACCTCAAGCTCTTTCACTTTTTAAACTTGAATTTCACTTTAAAAAAGTTCTTCCGAAATATGTTATAATGATAGACGATATATTGCCATGTATTCTGTAAGTTAATTTAGAAGATTCGAATGTGTGTTAATCCAAAAGTCAGCAAAATCTGAGCCTGCGAGTTATGTTCTACGATTCCCCTGATATTTGAAAGAGGTATTCAATGATGTATTGCTGGTAGTAATACTATGGATTATTCATCTAAAATGGGGCTTCATTCAACTAGAAATTACACATAAACTACCGCCAAATTCGAGGAAACAGAAACCAGGTAACCATTCGCGTTTCCACAAATGTCGGGCGAGATTTTCACATCACGTGCAGGGCTTGGTGTAGAGCCGGTTTTTTATTCATTTGACCGGGAAACAAATTCGAATAGGTTCGGAAAAAAAGACTCAAGACTAAATCAACTAGAGTGTAATAACAGTGAACGTCCAGGAAATCTATGTTAATAAGGTTAAAGATCGATACATCGTATAGCGAAAGCGAGCCACTTCATTAACTTCGTCGTACGTACGAAGGTCCTTATAATGAGAACGACCTTCGATATTTCATCCCTGGACTCAGCATGAAAGAGCAGCAATATTTCGCCATACAATGGCCAAAAAATTGGCAAAAGAGTGAGAAATAACTAGCAAATTCTATACTCACAGCTAGCAGTCAAGTTCTAAGGCAACAAAATGGTGAATTGAGACACTTACACTTGAACTGAGCTTCTCGCAACGTGGTTTAGAAAGGAAGGCGATGGGTTCCGTGCGTACCTAAAGGGGGTGCTAACAATTGCTGATTGCACAATCCATGACGGAAGTAGCGTAGAAATTTCTCGTATGTGTGACGGAAATGACCTCACTGCCAATCAAAACTCTTGCATACTGCGGCAAAAATACGAAAGATAATTCGAGACAATTTCGTAACCCTTGCTATATTGTCTCTGGTTGGGATAATTTCGTAAGAGAAAAAAATACTGCAGATTTTTGTGCTTCCTTTATGGTCTGATAATCTTTTGTTGTGATCATCAGGGATTTCGCGCCTTTCGTCGGTGGACTGGGATTTAGTGTTTGAAACGCTGTTTTGGCAAGATCAAGGTAAATTTGATTCATAAATTGCCTTGCCACGTACAAGGCGATTTTGGTAACAAAAGCCTCAATAATTTTCTCTTTCATATTTCTCTCAATTATTTAAGTCATGTACAAAATCTGAATAGCACTGTACAGACAGAGGAGCATTTGTTGTTGCACAATAGCAGGCGGTTTTAATTTTACATGTTCTCTACTGAATTGAAGACAGCATAACTTTTTACCTTCTTAGTTTTTAGTAGGGTTGTTGCATTTGTGGCTTTATATGATAGGTTTTCGTATGTGCGGACAACAAAGCTTATTATTTATTTTCTGGCGAATGTGTTGGCACATGTTAACGTGGAGCTTGTACGCAGCTATGAAATTTTGTTCAACTAGGCTTTTTCCCCCTGGGATATTTTTAGAAACTGCCTATTATAGTCTGCAAACGATATGTGCTTTTGCAAAGAAATTCTTCTCTTTACTTCTATAAGAGAAGGAAATGCATTACTTTAAAACAGTTTAAATCAAAAAGTTTTTTTTCGAAACTGAAAATCATTTTAACATCCGAAATCTAATTAAAAATTCTTTCGTTAGTTACAACACACTCGTTGCAAATACTGTTGCATGTTTTGTGTGAGATCTTTTTCTATTTACGTTTTTCCTTTACTTACGCTACACCTCGTATGCCACTTTGTTTTTTTCACCACATTTTGAATTATTATTGAACAGATGCATGGTGAGCTCAATAATAATGCATATTACATTTGATTGGATTTTATTTATGATCTATCGGAGGACATGCAGACACTGGTAATATCGCCATTAACAACGTTTTGCTTTTTCTCATCTAAAGCGAATAGACTCCATGTTGCCATAGGTCTGTATAGTAACAGGGTTAGGCAGTCCGGATGGCAATGCAGAGAAAGATATCAATCTAAAAAATGAATTTATATTTTTTGGATAGAATTTTGTAAATGACTGGCAGTGTTTACCTTCTTATCATTTAACATCTTTACTTCATCATTGAAGCAGCATTGAACTCAAAATGGAAACTTAAATAATTTTCTGTTTTGATTTTCATTTTCAGACCACTCAAAAGTTGTTTATTTCATGCTGTTGTTTTGCAAAGCATGGGTTCTGTCCTGGTGTACCGGTTCACAAGGGAATTACCATTGTTCTTTCTTTGTTTAGGAGTCATCGGTTAGCTATAGTGTATTGTTTGGTCTTTTGTATTGGCTCTTGTGAACCGGTACACGAGGACAGAACCAAAGCATGGCTAAGAAATGTTTAAAGTTTTAAAATGCATGTGCCAAGTTAATGTTTTGCACATTAGATCTTTTGTTTTGCCACATTCTCATTACCGTCATCATCATGGTTTTGCTTTAAGGTTGTGTAGAAAACATCATGATATGATGAGAACGTCAGTAAACACACTTGGCTGGGCCTCTTGTGCCACTTTTTTGTTTTAACAGCATTTTGATGTTATCTATGGATTATTTCTAAACATACACTGCAAGAGATTTCTTGACTCTTTTCAGGAATATGACATCTAGAGGGCAAACAGAGACTCAGAAATTAAAGCAGAATCTTGAAGAACAGCTTGATCGCCTGGTTGCCCAGCTGTCTGATTTGGAGGAATGCAAGTAAGTGTTTTTGTTTATTTGACGCCTTTCTTTTTGAGTTGGTTCAAACACAATGTACAAAATTTTTATCTTAAGCAAGTATTAGTTGTCTGTGATCAACTGGAACTGATAACTTCTTCAGTCACAGTGTAAATGATACCAAAACAAAACTTAAAAGTCAAGTAGAACTTTGTTTGTCAAACAGCTTTTCAGGTGACTCTGATAACTTCTAATGATAATAAAAGCTGGTTTTTAATCACCATAGCAGCTAAAAAAGTGAATTACAGAGATAGAAAAGAAGCTTAAAAAATTTATGATATTTAACAATGCGAAACACGTATACTACAGTCCTTTTAGCATTTACACCCTGTATGCTCAACCGAAGGTAATAAATGAGCCAAAATGCTTTGTATGGCACATTTCATGTCTTCCTACCGCAGATCTCACACCTTTTATTTAATTTGCTATTTGCGATTCATTCTGTTATCCTTTGATCTCTAAGAGTGACTGGCATTTAATTTCTCCATAAAAAATCCCTCCTGAATCACATGTACTTTTAAGGTCAAAAGAATAAAGGAAATGATCAACTAAAGGCGCTCTTGATTGATAAACAAGTTCTCCTTGTTGACACCTTAGGAAATGTATAGAGAACAGTATGGAGAATATGCACACTGATGTTAGGGTGTAAAGGGTTAATGTCACACTAGCTGATTGGCTGAGTGCTGGCTGACTAACTGATTGACTTACTAGCCAGCTGGCTGACTGAGTGACCAAGAGGCTGGCTGTTTGGCTGGGTCTAACTGATCCAATTGCTAGCTGACTGGCTCTTAAACCTGGAGTAGTGACTATAACACGAAATTTTTCCTCACAGTATCGCTACAGAATGAAATATGGTTATGAGAATGAAGGAAATGATCACCAACTTAAAAAAGCTCTTAAATAATAGACAAACTTTCCCATCATTACCATGGGAATGTACAGAGAATAGTACGGAGAAATTGTATCCTGATGCTGGGCTCTAAAGTGTTAGCTAACAGACTGAGAGATTGACTAACTCACTGACTCACTGACATACCAAGGTATGTGACGATTTTAGGTTTAAATTCTTTGTTAGGATTGTAACAAATTAATAAATTGATTCTCTTTTTTATGAAGGGAAGACTTAGACGAGGATGAATATGAAGAAACTAAAAAAGAAACAGTGGAACAACTAAAAGAATTCAAGGAAACCTTGGAAAAATTTGCAGCTGGAAATGTGACATTAGTGGATGAAATAAGCAGTATGCAATTGGTAAAAATTTTTTATCTAGATCTTTCAATTCTCACCCATTTCTTGTTGAATATTATGTCCAGAGATTGACTAAAAAAAAAAAACATTCTTGCTAATGACCATTTTACATTCAATTTTCAGGCAATTCAAGCAGCTATTAGTGAGGCTTTCAAGACTCCAGAGGTCATTCGTTTGTTTGCAAAGAAACAACCCGGTCAACTAAGGCAGAGACTTGCAGAGGTGAAAACATACAGGCTTGATGTGGGGGGCATTGGGGTCCATCAGAAACTGCAAAACTGTGAAAAAAAAAATCCTCCAAAACTGCAAACCCGCTGAAGAAATTCTATTATCTTATACAAATCTTTACGGAAAAAGAAGCCAAATAAATTTACAAAAACTGACAAGTACACAATTACACAGTATGATGCCAAGAATGAATTGGCAAAAAAAAAATAAAAATGTAGATCAAATAAACTATACAGACAGAAAACAAGAATAAACTGAATTGTGATTAAAAAAAAAACTTTTAAGGCAATGACAATTATTTACACTAATGAATAAGACAAAAAAATATATCAAAGAAAATTAAATCTGTGTGGCCAGACTTTGGCTTAGATTGTTGCGTCCAGAGCAGATAATCAGTGAGCCTAATGTTCTTTCCTTTAGATGCAAAGAGATCTCAAAACTGGTCACCTTAGTCAAGCAGCATACACACAACAAGCAGTCGAGATTCTAACAGCCCTGAAGAAACTTGGAGAGCAGGTATCATCATGATCAGTTCAACTTGAAACTTTAACCCCTTAGTGTGACTGAAGTGAGAGGAATTTCTCCTTGCAGTATAATCACCCTTGTATCAAGTGTAAAGGTCATGGATCAGAATAAAGGAAATGATCACCAATTTAATTAAATAAGAAGCTCCTGATTGTCAAAGAAATTCTCCTTGTTATACTGTACCATAGAAAATATTAAGTGAGCAGTGGGGAGATTGTCAGTATTGATGTTAGAATGAAAAGGTTTAACCCTTTCACTTCCAAGATCTTTACAGCAAATTCTCCATACTGTCTGCTATACGTTAATTAGTGTAAGTACTAAGAACTTGGTGTACAATCAAATGTTATCCTCTAGCGAATGAGTTTCTTTTTTCTCATCACCTTTCAGCTTGATATATTTATCTTATTATACTTCTACCAAGTTATTTATCATCCTAAATGCCAAATTGTTATTTCAGTGCAGGTGAATTTTGCAGATATTTATTTACGGGGAGTGTGTGACAGAAGTATGCAAAGCAGAACAGAATTGGTGCATTTTCATGTTACTGTTTCTATTTTCTTCAATACATCAAGAAACTTCCTGGTCACCTAGCTGTTTTTCTTTGTTCAATTCATCTAATAAACTTGGATCTATATTTGCGAGCCATTCTGACTCTTCGTCATCAAAAATATGATTCAAATCGTCTACCATTTTGTTTTTCCTAACTTCAATCCAATTCTTCTCTTGTACAATGTGAGAAAACCTTTCTAACTGGTTCTCTGGAGTACAGATACCACTTGATATTTGTACTCATCTATGGCATTATTTGTGGAGATGTCAAGGTCGATTTAAGAAGCTCTTGGTGGTCAAAAAAATTCTCCTTGGCAGTGCCATAGGAATTGTAAAGGACAGCTGGAGAATATGAATGCCCATGTTAGGGTGTCAAAGTTTTAATAGCAAAGGGCATGGACATCATTGGGTAAAATTCACCTGATTCATATATGGGAATTCTCACCTTTGCAAACCACCTTAGAAATACATATACTGGTAACTACCTTTAAGTCAAGGCCTAATATTCATCAATTTTTTTAGGAAAATTCACTACTTCACAAGGGAATTCCACATTGAATTGCACATGAAAATCAGTATCACAAGAATGGGGAAGCAATGAGTGCGCTATTGGTTTTCAAGTGCAATTTAACGCAGAATTCAGTAGTTAAGTAATGGATATTCCTTGAATCACAAAGTTGAATTCACATAAGAAAAAAAGGAAAACAGTGTTACTTATAGTTGTTATGTATACACTTAGCCTTGTTTTCAACTTGCAATTCCATGCTAAATACCTCACTTTGTTAACCAATCAGAATGTGAGATTTTATTCATTGATGCAATTCTCCTCAAAATTTTGTTTGTACTCTTACTTTTTTTTCAGCTTAAGCCTCAAGAAGCTGAATTTCTGGCTGAGAATACAAATGCAGCATTAAGCTCATTTGAGAAAGTTTCAGAGAAAATGGGTAAAGTAGATTTTTCTTAAAATGATTATTATCTGCTAAAATATAATTTGTCATATAATGAGAATCGATTAATCAAATTTTTATTTTTTTATTTTCATTGCACCTCACTTATAAAAATTAAACACACACACATGTACAGAATTAAGTTATTTATGCCCTACCACACATTATGTATGTTTTTTACAATAATTACTCACATTGTTAACAATAGTCACATAACTTAAAGCAATCGTAAAGCAGAAGAAGAAAAAATTAAACACTACAAAACAGAAACTTACAGTGCCTAACAGTGTTTACATTAATCAGATTCTTAATTAATAACTACTCTTAAAATTTTTGGCATTTGTAACAAAAAAGGCAGAGAAACAAATAAATGTACAGTTATAGTAAAGAACAAAGGACAACTTTTAAAAGTTATTTTACATGCTCTTTAGCTTCCTTATACTTCTTTGTTGGTCAGTTAGGAGAATTGGATGATGTGTTAAGACAATGTTGTTGTGGCAATCCGTTTCTCTTTTCTTACCATTTGTTTATCTGGCTATGTTAACACAGTTAATTTTCTGGGCGTGAAAAAAGTGTTAACTAGTTCTGACAGCATGATTGATTTTTCTTCTTTTTAGGAACTGGTGACAAGCTACTTAAGGTTGCTGGGTCACAAGTAGAAGATGCACAGAAGTGAATGGAGTCTTGGTTTTTGTATTTTGTTCAGCATGATTTGAACTGCTGTCTTTAAGGCGGAGTGGAAACATGCAAACAATTTCTTACCAGTCTTTCTTACAATACCTTGCTGGCAGAGGCATTTATTTGTTAACTTTCCCTAGGGTCCACGTAAAAATAAAGTCCTCTGCTCTCGGCCTGTTGAATCTTCTTCAAGCATGCACGGCCTGTTGCTTAGAAACAAATTAGTTCGCAGTAGTACTCTGTCTTGCATAGGTAAAACAGGTTCTGACCGGTTTTGCATATCAGATTATCCACAAACTTGGATAATTCCTAGGCGCATGCTCGAAGAAGATTTAACAGGCTGAGCGCAGAGGACTTTATTTTTACGTGGACCGTAGGGGAAGTTAACAAATAAACGCCTCTGCCAGCAGGATATTCTTACAATTTCTCAAATGCCAGTTATTGAAGAAGTATTGTAAGGAAAGAGAGGAAGAGTTAATTTTTTTCATGTAAATAATTTTTATCATGAGATTACTGAGTTATCAAATGAAAACCTAGAATTAATGGTGCACCAGATCAATTTCAGCATCATAGCACCAGTTTACTTACCCCTCCCCCCTAACCCAACAACAGTCAATTGGTAACAAGTTAGGGTTGATTTTAGATTAGGGGAGGAGTAGGTGCACAGGTGTTCAGTGACTGTCATTGCTCCAGTAAACCTTTAAGCCTGGTTTTTACAAAGGATGCAAGCACACCCCTAAGCACAAATGCACACATAAGGTAGATATGCCAAGTAAAAACAAATGTTGACAAGCAATGGCAAAAGAAAAAGAAAAAATTCTGATCCTTGTACTTGAGCTTGTGTTTATGCTGGTGCCATTGTTGAAAACATGCAAGGCCATAGACTCCATTTTTTAAGCAGTCAGGATTCTCGGAGAACTAATTGAGTAAAGTCTATAAATTTTAAGTCAATGCTAAGTAATTTAAAACTTTACTTTTCTCAGTAAATTATTTAACTGATAAAAAGTGTGGTCGTGGCTTAAGAAATTCAATTTGCCAGCCATCACACAGTAGAACTTTATCACCACATGAATTTGTATTTAACCCAAGGTTCTAATGACTATAATGATGACATACTTGCAGCACTTAAAATTGATTTTACACAGGCTGGAATCCCCACAAAGTTTCCCAACCTGACTGCAGCAATGAAGGCCATAATTAAACTGTGCATATTGTTTTTTGCTGTTGTTGATAAATGAACACAAGATTTTGACCACAGTGATGGCAAATAGCATTGTAGATTAATGTGCAGACCACACTAGACCATGGTCGATTTGATTTATCATGTTAGCACTAAACAGCAAATGTTGTGAAAAATTAATTCAGTTAAGATTGTATAGGATATCCAGAGTTTGGCCTCTATGTGAAGGGACACCTTTCCTACAAGGGACTGTTGCTAGAGAGCCTAGAGGCATGTTGTGACAAAGGATGTCAAACAACTTGCTCACTCTAAATGATTGATGTTGTCAGTTGCTACTGAAAATATTAAACAGTGCATTACTCCAAGGGATCTTCATGCCTCAATCCACTTTAAAAGGTTCTTTTAGGTTTCCTTTTTTTACAAGCTTTTGCAACTTGTAGAACTTGTTCCCCCCTCGTAAATGTCTTCAATTTCAATAACAGACGGTTCTTTGATATCAAATTCAGAAGCTTTTTAATGTTCTGTATTTACTACTAAACTATCAAAAAAAAATTTCACCCTGCATTATAGATGCACTTAAAAGAAGATTCCTGTAGCCAGTCAGATTACATTTTGACTATTAATGCTTTAACTCCCCATAAACTCTATACATTATCCACCAAAGAGGAAATAAGAATACTCAAACTTATCAGGTAGAATTTGTTATCTTGATCTAATAGCAAATAGTCCATTTTACAGTTGTGCTTGGTTGCCAAGCCTTTGAATGGGAGTGAGGCTAGAGATGACCTTGTTATGATACAAACCTTGCTGCCTTTCAAATGTAAATCACTTTGTTGTCATGCTAACTAGATACAGGTCTCTATCACAACAAGGTCATCTTTAGCCTCACTCTGAATCAAAGGCTTGGCAACTAAGTACACAACTGTAAAATGGCCTATTCTTGTCACTAATTAATGAGGGTATGTGCAATGGCAAGAGTAGAGAGTTAGTGTTCGGATCTGGGGGGGAGGGGGCTAAAGAATTAAAGAGGCCCAGGAAAAGAGGAAGGTAAAAGGTGCATGTTGGGAATATTTAGGGGCATTCCCCCAACCACCCCTCCCTTGTTGTTATGCATGATTACACATAGCCACTACTCTCTCTGCCGTAAATATTCCTTTTTTGATACACTTTGTGTTAAGGAGCACCTGATATTGCACTGGTTATTTCGGTACATTTGTAATAATCCTCCAATCATTCATGGGTGATCAAGCAAATTTTTCAATGGAAAGTAAAGCAATTGTGGATATTTATTGATGCAGGTTTGGTGGAATTTTTGGAACACAATGTAATATTATGAAATGGAAAATTTTTAGGGCGGAAGTGAAAGGCAATTGTGAATATTTATTGATGTGGGCAGAACAGAATTTTTGGAACACAATGTAATATTTCTAGATAAGTTGTGTCAAAAGATTGTTTTTAAATACATTTGCCAGAAAGCTTTGCCCTTATTTCTCCCTATCATTGGTTTTATGGTGAATAAAAAGTTCTAAATCCTTACAGCTGTTCCCATTGTTTTTTTGTTTTTTTTGTTACAAAGCGTGTTTAGTTTTTTTTCTGTGATAAAAACAAGTGAAATTCGATATTGAAAGCCAAATTTTCAAATTGTTATCAACCTGGGGAATAGTTGAGACAAAATTAAATCTGACAGCTAGCATTAATTATGTAACCAAGTTGAAATATTCTTTATTTATCCGGTTGTGAATATAAACCCAGCCAAAGTTCAGAATAATTCAATATAAGGGGTTTTTCTTTTTGAGCGGGTGATATAAAGGTGGTGTAGCATTCGTGGAATTTCATCTCCCTCATAAAAGATACCTCCAGCTAACAAGTCATTTTGAATGCATGCAAATCCAATTTTAGCTTCGAGGTCGCGTCTCTTTCTAGACGAGCGGCTTTTGTTTTCAAACCCACAACGTTTATTGTCTTTATGATAATTTTTTTTTTCACTTAGCGGGTGTGAACACATGTGATCAGTGACGTCAAGTTTCTTAGGCTTAGCGAAGAAGTACCCGAGTATTGGATTACACATTCAAGAAGAAGGTTTTGTATCGACGGTTCTTCTCAGATTTCACGAAAGGACCACCAAAGGGCTGCCCATGTCGCTGCAAACGACTATTTTGTGTTTCTTCGGCGTTTTAGCAGCGTTTTGCCGCGGCCTGGAGTTCGGGGAACGCGGTGAGTTTGAAGAGTAGTTGTTTGTGAAATTCGAATGCGCGTTGGCGATTTATGACAGTGAGTTCCCCTTAAACCGCATGTTGCTAAAAGCGAATAACTCGACTATTATGTACCTTTCTGAGCGAAATACGTGTTTTTGGATCGTTCGACATTCTTTAACTGAGGAAAATAATTTAGTTGATGTAACCAAAGGTTACTTTTGGTATTTTTTCGTTTTAATCGCAATGGGGTTGCCGTATTTAAATTATTTTGTACGTAGTGGGTTTCTCCATATCTCGAGATCTATATTGCACTTTCCACGTTCTTTTCATGCAAATTTTTCTTTCACCTCCCACGAAGCACTCAACGACAAGCATTTTTATTCTTCTTTCTGCTAAATGTTGATTTGATATACCGAAGAGTTTTGCTGGCGACTTTCAAAGATGTCAACTCCACGCCATGCATATTGCTTACAAATTGCTAGAGTTCATTATTTTCGAATCATTTGCTTTTCCAGCGAACCATGTCATATCTTAGCTGCAATCTTTCCACTTTGTGTCTGTTTTCATGTAGCATCTAGTCGCTTTATGTGAAATATTAGCGGTGGATTTAGTGAACAACTGCTTTGTCAGCGAACATTATCCTCTTCGAATCTTCGTCGTCTTTGCGACTTGAACATTACTTGAGTAATCAAGAATGCGTGAAAGCAGATTTTAGCGTATCCAATCCTCCAGAAATCGTTGTAGGCTCCTCAATGTTGACGAGCATTGAAGATGTACATTTTAAAAAATCTGGTTGGAAACTGTGGTTTGGGAACTCGATTTAGACATATCTGTATAATATTTGCGCGCACAACTGTAAACTAATTACCTTGCACCTTGAATTCTTTTTACGCTCGATCGAGTTCCGACTCAATTTACACTCAGTCTGGTGGTGAATTTGTTGCTTTTTTGTCATAAATTGAACCATACTACGCTGTTTTGCTGTTTTATACTTTTCTTATTTTTAACATTTCGGCGGAGCCCACATGCAGATAGATTTTTGTCTTCACAATGTGACAGGTCTGGTAGTTTGCATATCAATTTCCTTCACCGTAAAATTCTTAAATATATTATCTCTTTTCTGTTTCGAAGAAAGTTACAGAGTTTGAAGGAAACAGTAAAATTTCATGCCTGATTTCTTTGATATCTTCACAATTACATTTTGATTAGTCGTCACTAACAGAATTTCTGCGATTTGGATACTTCTTGTCGAGTCGAAAATAGCGCCGACATCTGGGCAAGATTGTCTTCTTGTCGCTGTTTTTTTTTTTTTAACCAGGATTATGTGTTTTTAAATATGTTGGCGTTTGATTCTGGTTTTCCAATCACTTGACAATCAATATCCTTTATATTTTACCATGTTTATATATTATGGACCTAAAAACCGCTGTTAAATAATTTCTGAACACGTATTGTTTTTTATCCGTCTTAGCAGAAGGTTGAAGCTTCAATTCCTTAATTTCTTAGACGTTCTCAAGCCATTTTCATGTGCCATTGGTTTAAATTTAATCCTTTTTGTATTGTATTTATTTACCCCAAATAACTTCGATAATGATGGCACGTAGCAGATTAAGGGGAAAAAATCAAGTTAAAACTGCTTAAATGTCATTTAGACAAATACAAATTGACTGTGACATGCTTTTGTGAAGTATGAATGTGCTGATGTCAACACTCTTGTTCTTCCTATGCTGTAGTCTTGAAATTTATATCAGTAATTTCTGTTGTATTATCTACAGGATTTGATTTTTTCCAAGCAGAATATGCCCGTGCTATCACAGAATACCATGCTGTCAACAAAACTGTGATGCACATCAGAGCAGTTGGCTGTGAAGGGCCAGTCAAGTATAATATTGCTCAGCCGGATACACCTTTCAAGATTGATGAAAAAGGACACGTTTGGCTGGTGAAGAGACTGAACTATGACCAAGCAAGATCCTATCTGTTGAATGTGACGGCAGAAGCTGGAAATGGAAAATGCTTTGCCCACACCAAAATCCACTTTGAAATTCTTAACATGAACAAACATGCACCACAGTTTGAATTTGAGAATTACAGTTGTGACATTATTGAGAATACTCGAGAAATGAGGTTTAATCCACCCATGAGGATTCTGGACAGCGACAGTGGAGAAGCAGGAAAGATATACAATGTGACAATTGTGGAGACTGGTCTTCCATTTGTGTTCACTGTGGATGACAAAGGGAATGTCAAGGGAAGAGCAACTAAAAACATGGATGCTGAAGATATCACAGACTACTTCTTTGATATCATTGCCTGGGATAATGGAAAGCCTTCAAAGTCCTCCTTTCCAATCAGCTTAGAATGTGAAGTTGATGATGTCAACGAGTTTGGACCTCATTTTACGCCAGACACTTACCAGGCTAAGATTGCTCGTGGAAAGACATACTCCAACATCACTCAGGTTTGTGTATATTTATCTTTGTGACAATATTTCCGGTATTTTTAATGATGGCAATTGTTATGAGGATGAGTTCCAAGTAGTTGTTTCTGGTGTCACACTGTCTTTCAATTCTCAAAGCCTACTTAAATCAGTCTTAATTTGGTATTAAGACCTTTTGGAATAGAGCACCCCTCCTACATGTGTATCAGCCAAAGTTAGGAGTCAGTTCTCTCCCCCTCTCCTCCTCCAAACTGGTACCCATCTTATCCAAAAAGTGAAGTAAATGCCCCATCGTAGAATTGACATAATTTACCAAGGCTTTTAATGTTAGGGAAATGTAAGTTTTTGTAGATACAAAGTTTTGGCAACCTTGTGTTATTTCTTGAACTTGAGTGTATTAATTACTGGTATTTGCAGTCTATATATTTTCTGATGAAACAGTTTTGAAGTAAAGACAGATTGTGCAACAAAATATTTTTCAGAAAAATGCTTTTCACAAAATGATTTTGAGTCCGCTAACCTACAACCACTTTTGGGATTTTTCCCCCAGTTCTGATAAAATTAATGCAGTCCACTTCCTTACAGTATACTGTAAATAACTGATGAGTTTTTTGGTTGGTCATTTGTGTTTACAAACATTCGTGTATATCTCTCCTTGAAAAAGATTCTTTTGAATAACTTTATAATTGATAATTTAAATGTATCTTGTAATTTTTTTAGCATGTAACATAAATCTGCTTTTTCCAATTTGTCAGGTCTTTGCTGAAGATAAAGACATAGGTATCATAAGTGGTAGAGTTTGTAAGTATGTTATAGAAGGCTTCAATCTTCCATTCAAAGTCAGTGATGACGGTGTAATCAGCATCGATCAGCCTTTAGGACGAGATGCCTATGATTTGTACGAGTTTCAAGTGGATGCTGTTGACTGCGGTGGACAAATGTCTAAAAGCAGTGCAAAAGTAGCCATCTCTGTGGTGACGTTAGAACCACCCTGTGATGAAGGTAAGTTTTGGTTTTAGAGGATGTTGGTGTTTGTAACTTGATTGGTGGGTAAACTCAGTTTCTTTGTAAATTGAGAAATTTTTCAATTTTCCTTTAATAATTGATAAACCAAGTCTAGACCATTATATATGGAGTTTTTCTCAAGAATTAATGAAATAAATTTAATGCAACAATTTGTTTTGATCTATATGTTAACAAAAGTTACATTTAAGACAAGGATATGAAATTTAAGAAAATTAAGCTTGTTTTGGAAAAATGTAGGTGTAAAATTCAGTGTTAATTACACATGCAAGAGAAGCAGTTGAAATGTGCCTATAGGCAGTGACCTGTGGTTTTAGCATTCAATTGTTATTTATGACCCATTTGGTATTCTCAAGGGAAAAAATTTTTAGTTTGAGTGATAACAAGTTTTGGATTCACCAATGACAGGGAACCAAAGCAAACCAGGAACAGAGTATGGAATTGTGTGGGATAGTGATGCACAATCATTCCATCATGCCACCTGATCAAGATTTCGTAAATACATAGAGGTGCAAAATCATGAAACAAGCTATTTATTGACCAAGATAATTTGGTATTTTCTACTGAGTAGGTGATGTAACTTGGCTGTCAGGATGAAATTCTAAAGCTGGCATTTGTGATTATTAGTTCTTTGTCAGAGTGAAGATCATTTGCAAAGAGAATTTGTCAGAGCAATGAGGAGCATTCAGAGCATTTGCTCTGATTAAGGGCTAATGCTTGAGATGTTAGCCTAAGAGGTTCTTCATTATGGCCAATTTACTTTTGATTAATTACTCAGTTGATAATAGCTAACTATCGTAAAAGACCTCCCACAAAAGCAACACCACAGTTTCTCAAAAAACTTATCCCCTTAAATAATTAAATCTCCACAATCAGCTGCGTTGTACTTCAGAAAGTACTGGTTCAAACTAGTCATGAACTTCAAGCTGTCTGATTCTTGCAGTCCAAGCCAGAAGTGGTTGTGACTTGTACCTGTGAACCCACCCACCTTTATTTCTAAAAATCTGATTGGTTTGAAATGTATAATTCTATCTCCAGAATTTGTTGGACCAGCTAAACAGGAGTTGACCTTGCAGCAGTGCACTGGAAAAGTCTATGTCACCCCTGACATCACCTTGAACAAGTGTGCAAGAAAGCAAAAGAAGGGGAAGTTCTCTGCTAATGTCAGTCTGGTAACCAAAGCTGGCATGGGCTGTGACAGAGAAACATTTGAAGGATCAGATATGTTCACCATCTGTGGTGCAAGCAACTTTATTGATCTGCTCCCCAAACCAGGAGTTGGCAGAGAATGGACAGAGGATATTGCAAAGAAGACTGCAAAAGGTAGATTTGTCCGTGAATTGAAAAAAAGCTTTTAAACAATTCTGAATTAAGTTTGTTACTTTGTCCATACATTCATTTACACATTTAATTTTACTTAGGATTTTTTCATTTTTGTGTATCCAAATAATGATTTAACATGCTGCATTAAATCCAGTCTGTCATCATGCAAGTTCTTCATGATCCTCTTGCAAATTAAATGCTGCAAGTTTTCAATTGAGCCAATTGTGTTTTTGCAGTCATATGGCAAGATGTTAAGAGCATCTCTCTGATTTAGTTTGTATACTCTGAAGTCCAAGCATGATAATCTTTTTTATTAAAAAATATTTGTGCCTCATTGTTTAGCCTCATGCTCTGTTCTTCCCCAAGTATTAAGCCTAAAGATAAGGAATCAGAAACTCCAAAGATGTGGAATTAGAACTCCAAAGATGGGCAGTGTGATTAACAGTTTGGCGTGTTAATTGGAATTTTACCTTGTTTTTCTTCTTTCTGGCAACCAATTGATGCTTTTGTTTCACCAAATGGGGACTCTGAGTAGAATTGAGCTCAGAGCTTCAATTGATTATGGCCTGCAGGTACATGAAATTGTTTTGAACTTTTTGTGGGAAGTGATAACCACCAGCATAGAGAATTGTTATTGAGTGCAGCATTTGAAGGTGGAGGGAGGTGCTCTTATTAATTTGCATCAAATTTTCCTCTTCAGATGAACTTGGCTTTTCATTTAATGGAAAGACCTACGTGGAAATTCCCGAAGATGTCTTGCCAGATGACATTGGTGACAAGTTTACCATCAGCACATGGATCAAGGTTGCCAAATCTAAAGGTCGCCAAACCATTGTCGCTAACACTGATAAGGAGCGCCTTGACCGCGTACATTTCTCTCTGTCCACATACGGAAGCAGGCTGATTTTTGTGCACAGACGTGAGGCCATACACGCTGAACGCGATGTCTACTGCAATGCAGAATTTCAGTACAAACCAGCCATTTTTGACAACAAATGGCATCATATTTTGGTGGTTGCTGACGGCTGTGCCACCAAGATGTATGTCGATGGAGAGCATTACGCGGCAGTGGTAACTGAAGCAGACCGAACCCTTCACAACTCAAACCTGAAAAACAAGGTGACTGTTGGAGCCCGTTATCTGGCCAAGGAGGGAGTTTACACTAACAGGTTCACTGGATATTTGTCTGGACTTGCAATCAGACCTAAAACCACTCTTGATGAACAGGTACGACCTTGTTTATGTTTACTATTTGTGTATCCATTTCAAGTACAAGTGAGAGATGCAAGGGCTTTTCCCTTCAACCATTTTAACTCCCAGGAGTGATCAAGACAGAATTTCTCCTTACATCATCACTACTGTAACAGTATCAAGCAGACAAGTGATGAGAATAAAAAAGAATTGTCAATTAGGGGATTATCAATAGATCCAATACCAAATTCTCCAAACTAACGTCATAAGAATTGTATGACAGACAGTAAGGAGAATTACTAATGAGAACTCGGGAGGGACTGGCTTCTAATTTCTCCATACTTTATATCGTCTTTTATTAAAATATATAGGACATGAGAACAAAGGAAATGATTGCAAATTTGAGAAACTCTCAGTTGTCGAATGAATTCTCTTAGTCAGTACTGCAGGAAATGTAAAGAGAACAGTGTATAGAATCTGAATCCTGATGTTGGGCTGTTCAGGAATGTATGGAGCAGTTATTTTTGTCTGAAAATTTTTTTCCATCTGCAGATCACAGGGTTCAAGTGAAGGGTTTTGAAACTTAAAAATGGTCTACCATAAATTTGCATGCAGACCAAATTGTCCACAGTGATTTTTTTTTTTGTTTTACATTACTTATTGCCCATCATGCCTGTGTGGCACATAGGGCAGCAACAAGATCCTTCTGACCCTGCCAATCTTTAACCAGTTTATTAATGGTGCTTCAGCTGTAATTGAGCTCCCTTTATCCCTTCTCTACAGTCCTGCCTTGTACATTGTACCATAAATCTTGCTTTCAACTGAAACAATGTTATCTTATTTTCTCAGGTTCTGCGATGTGTGGTTGGCTGTAAAGAACATGTGAACGTTGATGGCCCACTTCCTCCTAAATTCTCGGCCAAAACCATCGATTTTGGAAGCATTGCAATCAGTGGTGAAGGATCACCCAGTGACTTCATCAAAACACTGCAGAGTCTTGTGTACATTAATGAGCGCATGGTGCCAACACCAGGAAAACGCTCTGTGATCATTGAGGCCAAGTTTAATGAGAAATCACTTGCAACCGTCTCTGTTGACATTACTGTTGCAGGAAATACACGTCCTGTGATTATTGTGGAAGGTTTGGATGCAGACATCGGACTGAACTGGGAGAAGAGAAAGGTTGTCAAAGAGAAAGGTTTGCGTGTGTTTGATTCACTAGAAATCAACTATGATGCTTGTCCAAGAGATGAGGAAGACTCTCCAATTGACAAAGTGCGCTTTTTGGATGAGGCAGTGGTGAAAGTTAACCCAGCCTTCAAGAAAGGAGAAAGCTTTAACTTCCCCACAGGAATCAAAGGCCTGAAGGAGAAGGGACTGACTGTAAGTTTCAACAACGAGGAGCTGGTCATTCGAGGAATTGCACACTTTTCAGAATACGAAGATGTCCTTCGACAGATGGTGTATGTAAACTTGGACCCAGATGATATGATGCACCTTGAGATAACTGTAAGTTTTAATGAAAAAGAATTAAGGAGTCTTCAAAGGCTTTTCTTGTAGAAATGCGTAATGAAATAGGTTTCTTAACCGTTTAAGTCTTAGAAGTGATTGACTTGTACATGTGTAACTTCTCCTTACAATATTCATGCATTGTCCAGGGGTGGATCCAGGAATTTTTGATTGGGGGGTCCAAACTTTGGTTCAGAAAGGACTATTGGACTCTTTTGAGGCAAATTACTTTTCCCCCACACCCCCCACATCCCCTCCCACCAGTCGCAGCTGCAAGTTATAATTCCTTGGCCACTTACCGTTTACTTGGATTCATTAATTTAAAAAATCAGCCAGTTAAAAAGTGATATACGATCCTGCGGATGTAAGAATTTCCGTCTCAAAGTTGTAAGTGTCAGGTCTGATCGAGGGGGGGTC